ATAATTATTTAGTGAAGGTACAAAAATTTTGCCAATAAAAGCCACAAATAATATTAAACGGAGTTACAATTTAGAATATAGCTTTTAGTTTCCTCTTCTAATAAAAAAACTTGGAAAATTATTTTTCCTACAGAAATAGAGGAAAAATAGTGTTCCTGGTATTGTACCTTACATGGGGCGCGATTTCTGGCGCACCCTGTATTTTTAGGAAGATAATTAGCTTATTTTCTTTAACTTCTTGTCCAATTAATTCCGTTGCAATACTTTTTAATGAATAAACCAAAGTTTTGTTTCATCGACATACCGATTTATTACTTAATTCAACAATATTGCTTAGGTAATTAAAACACAGCCATGTTGGTAAACTTGTTAGCAAATCAATGACATTTTAGGTGTGAAAAAATAAATTTTCTGGAAAAAATATTACCGGATTTTGCCATTGAATATTATCAGTTTTATGTACCTTATAATTTTAGAAAACAGAGTAATCTTTGGTAGACGTAAACAAATTTACCTTGACATTTTTTCAAGCATTCCGGTTGATCAAAATTGTGCGTGGATTTATCGCAGATTTTTGAACATGGTTCACAGTCATTTGCATAGTTGCAGAATTGGTCCCTTTTACATTTTTTTTGACCACAGGAAATTTCCCCCAATGTAATATCACTTTGAACAAACGTAAAACTGTACGATATAATAAACAACAAAATAACAATCTCACTACACTTTTTCATTTTTATTGCTTTGGAAGCACCGACTTTTGTACTTTTTGGAAAAGTGATGTTACCGAACTTCTTTTTGGCGGGATTTTGTTATCACATTGTCAAAAAAAAAATATTTTGGAATTCACACGTTGATTTTAAGCCATTTTGATGGCGATGCAACAGGTGTATGCCGAATGGTTGACTAACTAACTTTGCCTTACCTACCTGTATGAGTCATTGTTCTCCTATGTCGGATTTATAGACCTTGTGATAAGGAGACATAAGGTTCATGATGACTGGTATGCCGTGGAACAGGTTCTTGCGTTTCCCCTGCTCGTTTGTGACTTTCTGGCGAAGCGAAAGTCTACTTAATTATTCTGAATTGTGTACCAAAGTAGCATTACAAAAATATTCTCTATTCGAAATTTGGAATGAACGTGGTATTTAAAACCGTACTTTGCGATAATAAGCATAACAAATATTATGCATAATAATTGTTTAAATAATTATACGCCATCTTTTGATAAATATAATAAAAGTTTGCAGATTGCTTTAATTGTAAATTAGTTTTCTGCCAACACATTTTGTGATAATAGAGTATGAAATTTTGATAGATTTATCGATAAAGTTAGACAAAAAAATATATATCGCCTGAGTTTGCTTTTGAATCTCGGAGAACGAACGGTTGATCAATATTTTACAAAATTCATAGTTTTTATCAGCTTTTAATATCATATCAAATTACAAAAAAATACGAAATAGAAAAAAATTTTAAAGTGAACCCTATATCTTTTTCTTTTATGTTAATAAGTACTTTGTCTCACTAAGGTCCCCCATCATATTTTCGTTGTATTGGCCCTGATAATGGTGTTCGAAGTCGATGATGTTTTGATAAAAATGTTCTTCTTGTTCATCTGAATACGCCCCATGTTGTTTTCAAATTTTCAAATTTATCTAAATGGGCATATGTACAGGGTGCTGCATTTTGGATGTCCGAATAGGGAATCTCCGAAACTAAGAGGTTTAGCCATAAACGAGTGATACATTCTGGGGCTCATTTTTTGAGAAAATAATATTGGTTAAAACCTATCGTCTTTTGTTTTCGACTTATCAAGAAAAATTGACATTTTAGCGAAATCTAAAAAAATTCAAATCTTTGTTATTATAAAAAACACAGATTTGAAATAAAGACATTATAGAGGCACTTTTTTACGTAGAATTTAATAATGTAGTTAACAATTTTTTTCAGTTGTTTGTTTAGCCGTAATAAAATAAACTTGTATTTTTTAAATGGGAATCATAGATGGCTATGTCATTTTTAAAAAGCTTGTTTTTTCTTATCTAAAAAATATATATTTGTAACAAATTATTATAATACATTTTTAGCAAAAAATTATCTTTGATTTTTGTTCGCAGTTGGCCATGAAAAAATGTTGCATCTTCAACTAAAAGGATTTAAACTATATTATATTCAACCAGTGTCACTAATGAAAGAGTTTTCTAAGTACTAAGTAATGAAAAAGATGCAAAATAAATTGTAAATCAACTTATTGGCGACTAATAACATTTCTTTGTTTTTAAACAAGCTATCATTACCATTGCAACTTCTGGTGATATATAGAGTGTTGTAAAAAAGCCGCTTTAATTCTTCAATAAAATATATTTTATATGACACAAAAATGACGATATGGCTATTCAAATACCCAAATTCCGTCTATGTGAAACGTTTTCCTACCTCCATTAGATCATCAAAAAAAAATGTTTTTTCTAATTGTGTTGACTGTTGACACATTTGTTTTTCCTATTTTTGGATTTTTTAAAAATATGTAATAATTTTGTTCTGAGGCGCTCGGAT